GCTCCGTGGCCAGACACGAGGAACCACTGCTCCGAGAGGGCGCCGCCACGGGGGAGCGTGGAAACCTCTGACTGAAAGCCGTCCTGCCAGAGTGCCGGGCCAGCTCTGCCACTCACCACCTGGACAACCCTGGCAAGTGTCCTCTGAGCCTCAGTTTCCCCTACAGAGTTAACAGCGCAAACAGGGGTACCTGACAGGGTTGCTGCAAGCACTGTGGGAGCTGATGCTTGCTTAGAACAGAGCCTAGTGCCAGAGCAGGTGAGCTGCTGCGGAAAAAAATTTTTTTAATATATATATTACATTATGTTATATTACATGCATATCCCTAGTTAAACCAGACGGCTTCAGAAGTTCTCCCTAAAATATGACATTTTAAAAAGACACACAAAGCATGACAGGGGCAGCATCTCCGAACACTCCATGTGATGAGCTTTTTTAGTTTCAAAAGCGAATGTACATTTAAAAGCCGAGCAGCCTTAGAGCCGACAGCCCTTCGCTGAGTCCTACTGCCTAATGCACCCGGTTTGGTGCCAAAGGTGACCTGATTCTGATTAGGAACTTCAGTAAGAACAAATCCCGGCTCCAGTCCCCAACCCCCTGGGCTTGGGCCCCAGAGCTTGGGCTCTGGGCACAGCAGCAGCTGCCGGACAGGAAGCCGGGAGCCAGGAGAAATGGAGCCAGAGCCAGAGAAGACCGCCCTCCTCCAGGCTCTCGAGGACGCTGGCTCTGCCTCCAGGACCAGGGCTCCTAAAGCCCTGGCAAAGCACAGCTGGTAAGGTGGTCCCCACCTCTCCCTGCATCCCACCCTGGGGAGCTCTGAGATCCTCTCTCTACAGACAACCAGGAAGCGAAGGCGGGCAGTGGAGCACTCAGCGGGGGGCAGAGGGCAAGGCAGAGTGTGACACTTAGGGGACTTCACAGCCCTCAAATGTGACTGCAGGCAGCCGCTGGTCCTCAGGATAGCCCTGGCCGGAGGCACCCTGAGAACACACAGGGGACCTACACCACGTCACCTTGTGACACCAGAGCTGCCTAAGCCACAGACTCTAGGGGCAGGAAGCCATCCCCTAAACACTTCCAGTTCAAATGCTTTTTATTGCTGGGTGTGGTGGTGTTCGTCTGTAACCCCAGCAATCCAGAGGCTGAGGCAGGAGGCTCACTGCAAGTGATAGACCAGGCTGGAATACAAAGTGAGCTCAAGGCCAGCCTGAACTGCATACTGAGACCCTGTGTCAAAATGACAAAAAAAAAAAAAAAAAAAAGTCCTTTTAATCAAGGAGGAAACCGGGGTCCAGGCTCCTCCTGCCCACACATAGCCTGCTGTGCCACCTCAGGCTCTGGCTAATGAGGCACTTTCCTGGGGCACCCCTAAGCTTCAAGGGTTCCACTGGCCTAGCTCCAGAAATCACTCCTGCCCCCCTTGTAAGGCTAAAGCCTTCCCCTGATGCCAGGAAGGCCTGAACTGCTGCCCATGAATCGCGGCCCAGCAACAAAGCTGGGCCCTGAGCTCTCTGCAGGGGCCAAGAGCAAGGCAGGATTGTGGGGCAAGCCCTCAGCGGCCCACTCCATGCTCGACAGCCCTCCACACCTGCGCACAGCCTGCCTGCTGAGCTCACCCTGCTTCCTGCCCCGGAGGCTGGGAGGCTTCTTCTCCTGAGCACCCCGCTACTCCTAGCCGCTCCTGACCCCATCAAGGGCACCTGCTCCAGGAAGGCCCCAGGCAGGGGAGACAAGATAAGCCCGTGCGTGCATCAGATGTGGCTTCTCCGAAGAAGGGAAGTTGTGTCATTAGGGAAGGGACAGAGGCCACCTGTGCCCTGGGCTGTGGAAGGGTGGCAGCTCCGGTCTCGGAGTCAGGGATCTGGAGGAGGATGTTTGCGTTGGCTGGGGAACTGGCCAGGCCTGGGGACACTTAGTTCAGACGATGGCTCAAAATCTTGCGTGGGAGGCAGGTACAGGGCCAGAAGGGGGCGGGTGGCTGGGCTTTTCACTCACAGTGCAGCACACCAGGGGCTCCTGGCCTCGGCACTTGAGGGTGAGAGGTGGGGCACAGGAACCCAGCTTCTGAGGCCCTCCAGACCTGACTTTGAAACATCTGCCCTAAAGGACCTGAAGGCCCCTCTGAGCAGAGGGCTCTGGAGGGCCACAGCTGCCTGTCTCGTGCAGAGCACCTACCAAGCGCACGGCAAACACCTAAAAATGAAGGGTGCTGGGACTGCAGAAAGGGACAAATTGTCCATGCTTGGATCTAGTCCTACGAGGGAAGACGACGGGACACGAGAGGACAGGGCTGACGTACGGCGTTGTTTCACCCATCAAGGAGCTGTCTGACCAGAGGCAAATTTTTCTGGGCCTGTTTCTTGGGCTGCGAAACAGGGGCAAAAGTACCCGTAGTGCCTGCCTATCATGAGCATAGAAATGACACCACAGATGGGAAGCATGAAGGGCGAGGACCGAAACACTGACGGAGCCGCAGTGTACTGCTATGGCACATCCCGTGGGTGACGGTGGCGTTAGGGACATGAATCTGTGCTGCACAGGAAGCAGAGTGGCTAGGAGCTGGGTGCCCCCAGGACTGTGGGAACAGATCTACCCCTCACCGTCTCCAAGCCAGAGGTGAGAGGGAGAGGCAAGCGCTGGGCCAAGGGCTCCATCTCTATCTGCTGCTGGCATGGCTTGGGGTGGAGGGAAGGACGACTTCGGAAGAGAACCGCAAACCCTCCACCCCTTCCCAGGTCCTGCCTGGTCCCTGCAGGAAGGGAAATAAGGGCTGCCCATGGTCATCACCTGCCCTGATGCCCTGCTCCTCCCGTAGGACGCACATGCACACCCATACCCCTTCCTTTCCTACCCTCTGTGGGTGGCTGACAGGTGTAGGTTTGGCTGAAACACCAACAGACAATGCAGTTAGATGGGAAGAAGCGCCTGACTCACCATGGGCACCACGGCTCAGCCCCATGAGCTTCCTGCCCTGCCCTGAGCCTCCATCCCCACTGAGAGGCGAGAGAACTGGTTCGGCGACCCCTGCTGTTACAGCTTGAATCTGCTCCTCCCAGAGTCTCCTGTGCTTGGAAGGTGGCTGGGCCCTGGGGCCACCGTACTTGGCAGTGGATCAGATAGGATGCTGTTAGGCTGCTGGCAGGTGAGGCCTTGTCGGTGACCTGGACCTGAAAGGAGGCACTACTCTTGTCCCTGGCTTCTCCCTTTCCTCTCCCTCTCAGCTGCCATGACAACTTGGGCTGCTTGCCTCTGGCCAGCCTTCCCCCAGGCCATTTCTGCCACGGACTGGCCAACCATGCATTGAATCCACTGAGGGTGCAACTCCACATTACCTGAACCTCCTTCAAGCTACAGGTGTGGCACAGTTCATCCCAGTGACAGGACTGCAAGTAACTGACACACCTGCCACAGCTCCACCTTGGTCCGGCCTCAGGCTCTAGCCAGTGCTGCAGCCCCTCAGCAGGTGTCAGGCTCGGGACTTGCAACATTCACCTCTGTCATTGTAGCAGGGGCTGAGGCTTGTCACTGTCTGGCCGGATGTCACTGTCACTGTCTGGCCGGAGCAGCGGGATGGGAATCACGCCTCACAGATGGAGAGACGACCTGACTCCATCAGGTTCTCTGGAAGCCGAAGGCCTAACCCCAGCTGTGCCCTCGGGCCGAGAGGAGCCGGGCAGCACTGGGTCAGGGCAAGGCACGGGTATCTCCCAAGCCCCGGCTGCTGTGCCTGCCCAGTGAAGCTGCTCCTTGGCTGCAGGAGTGACACTCTTTCCTCCAGCCACCCCAGGACCCACACCGGCTCATCCCAGACCTGTGAGGTTGCCACCTGGCTCCAGGGCAAGGGGAACAGAGAGGGTGTGGTCCCTGCCAGAGCTCTGGGGGCTGTGCTGCAGGGCCTGGAGGGCGACATCCTGATCTCCTGGAGGCTTGACCCTCCATGCCTTTCCCGTTCCTTCCTAGCACCTCACCGTCACCTTCAGACCCCCACAGACTGTGAGTTTGGAGTTAGGAGAAGGAAGGGAGCAGCTCTAGCTGCACCTGGCTGCCAGTCTCACCGCGGAGAGCTGAGGGCTTCCCCGTCGGGGGCCCAGCGTGCACCCCTGGGCACAGCCAGCTGTCCAGGAGCCTTGCCTCAGTCCCAGGGGCTCTGCCCGGCCTCAGAACACACACAGCCCTGTTAACTTCTGGGAACAATCGGGCTCCTCAGGGACCACCCGGCCAGACAGCCCGGCCCACACCCAGCTGTTTATCTCGGATGCCTCGCAAAGGAAAGCAGCGCTCCCGCCCCCGCACACATGCCAGGCATATGCAGCCTCTCCACCAGGAAAACAAAGGAGAGCTGCACAAGAGGACAGAGCTGGACACCACGCTGGAGACGCCGGGAGGAGAGCTCTATTGCAGGAGTCCTCGCCCGCCCGCTCTCCCACCCACTCCCCGGGCCGCACCCAGCTCCTTGGCCGCGCGCCCCCTCGCAGGTCCGCCCTGAGGTCCTGCTCTGCCACAGCCGTCACGGAGCGCAGCCGCCTCCACGCCGCCCGCTCCAGGGCCTCGAGTGCACCCGCGGAGAGCCCTGCCCAGCTCGGCCGGCCTGGAGGGCCCTCGGCCCGGCCTGCCCCGGCTATCTCGGTGGGAAGCGCCCGCGGCAGCCAAGCCGCTGCTCAGGGCTCCAGCTCCCGGGAGAGGCGGGAGAGCTCCCGCTGGTTGTCGATGACCTTCGGCTGCTGGATGTAAGCCCAGGTGCTGGCTGGACTCCGGGTGCTCAGGGACTGCTCCGAGCCTGGGGGAGGGGAAGACACCAGGAAGGCTGAGCAGAGAGCTGTACCTCCCGCCTCAGGAGCCCGCGGAGCCACAGGGCCTGTCTCCCACCTGCCTGCACTGTCCCTAGGCCCCAGGCCAGCACCCCCAAAGCACTGCGCTGAGGAATCAGAAGCAAGCAGCTCCCCGAGACTTTACACAGCACAAGATCTCTCTTTTTTTTTTTTTTTTAACTAAGTTCACAAACAACTAAAATTTAAAAATGTTACAGTGTAGATACTGTAAGTGAAAGACTTCAAAGGTATATGTGTAGGTAGAAGACTATTTTTTTAAAAAAGAAAGTGAGTAGCTCAGGATATTGTTCCTTTTTTTTTTTTTTTTTCCGGAACTGGGGATTGAACTCAGGCCCTTGTGCTTGCCAGACAAGCACTTATTCTACTGAGCCATCTCCCCGGCCCCCCAAGATATTGTTTCGTTGTGTGTCAGGCTGCTCTTGAAGTCACTAGGTAGCCTGGGCTGGCCTTGAACTTATGGCGATTGTTCTGCCTCAGCCTCCACGTGCTGGGATTAGAGGTGTGTGCCTCCAGGCCCAGCTAGCTCAGGACACTGCGAGATAAGTGAAAGTTGAGGACTTGGGCTGGGCCCAGAGGCATGCGTTCAGGAATAGATGCAGGCATTAAAATAAAAAGGGTCTACGATGGAGTTCTTGAACCATGGATTCTGGGTAATTCCACTTCTTAAGACAAAGGTCCAACCAAGAAACACAGGTAAGAGTCAGGAGTTTGCATTCAGCTATCTCACTAACGGCAGACTTCAGAAAGCTGCCCCAGCTTTCCGGCCCTCTCTGTGTTTTGTGTTCAGCGTTGGGACTGAGCCCAGGGCCTTCATGCTGAGCTATGTCCCCTTCCCTTTTGTTATTCTGAGACAGCGTTCTGCTACATTGCCAGGGCTGGGCTGGCACTCACGATCCTCCTGCCTGTGTCTCCCTCCCAAGAGGAGAAAACAGCCCTCCTTGCCTCCCAGAGGTGTCGAGCAGACGTGGCGACCCCATGCATGGCAGGGCTGCTCTGTCCCCACCACCCCTCAAGTGCCCAGCAAGTATCAGCTCAGTGCATTTGGACACTGCCCGGGGCTCCCCCACTTACATGTGGACATCCTCAGCGCCTGGCTGTCCTCATGGAGATGGGAAACCCGGCTCCGCAGCGGGGAGAGGGGCGCTAGGGAGGGTGAGGGGAGTGGTCAGGGGGCTGCAGCCATGCCAGCGCCCCCAGGGGCCCCAGAGGCTCCCAGCCAGGGCTCCAGGCTGCTCACCGGTGCTGTGGCTCCGGCAGTAGTGCAGCAGCCGTGCGGCTCTGGCCATCATTCGCTGTGGACGACACAAGGGCAGCGGTCAGGCCTGCGCAGGGTGCCCCATCCCGCTGGACACGCAGGCTTCCATGCACCTGGCGCTCCAAGGTACTAGGGCCAGTAAGTGCTGGGGTGCCCTCTACCTCAGCCCAGCACCGAGCCCAGGAAACAGGAGCAGGAAGTCGGGCAAGAGAGGTCAGAGAGGTCTCAGACGGGGCCACCACAGAAAGGTCTGATACTGTCCCCTTGTGGCTCTGGCAGCAAACAGAACCACCAGCGCACAAGCACAAGGCAGGGCTGAGGCTGGCGTCCGAGGCCTTCTCAGCAAGCCTTGACCACCTCCCCACGCCCGCCAGGGGATGGGCACACACCATCTTCTCAAAGTTGATGAGACTGTCCACGAGCGTGCGGTTTCCCTCGTGGATGAAGGTCATGTCTGCACAGGGAAGATTTTCTCCTGGGTTCCTGCATTCCTTCTCCCTCCTGCAGCCCCGGAAAGGTGGAGGCCAGTAACGGCTGCGGGGAGCCTCCGCCCCATGCTGCCCTCAGACCTGCAGAGCCTACCAGGTCTCTCGGCCTCGGCCCAGCGCAGCCCTTTTGCTTTGCCCCAGCCTGTGAGCCCCTAGTTCACCTGTGCCCTCCCCAGCCCCAGCAGCCGGGGCAGCTGAGCAGCTAGCACAGGGCGGAGGCCCCGGCCTCTTACCTTTGAGGAGAAGGGGCATGAAGGGGATGAGGGGCGGGGAGAGCTTGCGGAGAGCAAGTCGGTACACACGGTGATTCCACGAGGGGTCCTGGGAGGGACGTGGGGGACGTGGGGCTGCGCAGGGCCAGCTGCCACAGCCAAGCATCCCCCTCCTGCAGGCCACAGAGGCTCCAGGCTCAGCCACGCCTGGCCAACTCACTGTGGCGGGCCACAGCCACTGCTGGTTTGCATGCAAGTGGCTTCCTGGGCTGCTGGGGAAGCCTCATGGGTGGGGTTAATCACGAGGCCCTGAGGGTTGTGGGATCCTCACTCCCTCTCTCTCTCTGGTGGGTAAATTCTTCCAAAGTTCTTTGGTCCCTTGAATTGTTCTGTCTTTTTTTTTTTGAGACAGGTTCTCACTATACAGTTCAAGCTGATCTTGAACTTACTTTGTAGCTCAGGCTGGCCTCAAACTGAACTCACAGTGATCCTTCTGCCTCAGCCTCCTGAATGCTGGAGTTACAGGCATGCGCCACCACACCAGGGTAGCAGATGCTTTTCTTATGAGCTCCCAGGGCTACGCTGATGACATCCCTGTTCCTTTCCCTCCTGAATACTTCAGACCCTCAGCAGTTCCTGGAAGCCGAGGTTTAGTACCACCACCACGTGCAGGGCTCTGGTGCAAGCCCTGGCCTTAGCACGGCCAGTGATTGGTGCGAAAGCTGCGTCCTGAGTCCCGGGCAGGGTGGCTATGGTGCAGCCTCCTCAGTGACCTGGCACCTCCTCGCATGGTAGATGTCCCCCCGGGGCACGCTGTGTTATGCAACCCCCCAAGCAACCCCAGTGTGCACCTCACACCCCATCCCCCAGCTGGCTCTCCCCCCACTGGCCAGAGGGAACCAGGGAGCCCTGAAGAGCGACCAACCCAGACAACCAGAGGCTGCAGGGAGCCCCGAGTTGAGTTCTAGAGGGAGGACCCTACAAGGCACTCACCAGCAGCCTCTCCAGGGCCGAGTATAGCTTCCGGACTTTCTGGGGCAGCCGCTGTGAAGGACAGGCCTGAGCTGCCACTGCTGGATGGGGCTCCCGGGGGAGCCCACGACCAGGGAGGACGCCTGGCTGCAGGACCAGACTTCAGGGCACCTACCTCCCAGGTGCGGGCCAGCCGGCTGATGGCCGAGTTGCTGAGGCCAAACATGACAGCAAAGAAGGAGTTGAGATTTTTCTGCTCCTTGAGGCTGTGAGAAGACACAGAGGTGCTCAGGGAAACAGCTGTGCTCACCGCACTGGCCAAGAGCCAGCCCAGGGGCTCAGACCAGGCCTGCCCAGCGCCACTCGGGTCAGGAGGAGGCGAATGGTAAGGCTCATGCCCATCCAGCTTACTGGGCAGCAAGTTTGATGAACTTCCGGAGCAGCTGGGCCCGCAGGCCGGGTGCGGAGCAGAGACACAGCTCCGTGGCCACCCAGTACTGCAGCTCGTTGAAACGGCGCAGGACGCGCTCCAGGTTGGCCGTGGTGCCATCGCGCAGGTGCTGGGGGTCCAGCACGTAGTGGATCAGCTCCACCTGGCAGGAGAGGGGTCAGCGCACCGGGCAGCCCCACCCCATCCTGGCCTCCCTTCCTGTCAGCTGTGCACCTGGTGGATGCACTTGAAGAGGCCCCAGTCTCGCTCGGTCAGCTGCCCAGCCAGGTCCTTGGCGCTCACTGCGTCCAGCCCCTCTGCAGAGCCCACCGTGGGCCCCAGCTGCTCAGGGTGTGGGGTCTGCGGGGGGAAGAAGGCCAAGGCAGGTGCTCGAGGAACAGGAGGGGGCTTGGGGCAGGCCCCCTGCAGGTCCATGGAAGGGGCAGTAGTGGGGAGCAGGGAGTGCAGGGCTGTAGGGGCCACCCTGGAGGACAGGTGTCTTAAGGAGGCATCTTGCTGATGCCACCCCCTCCTGTGCAGTGGGGCTGGTTCCTGGGGTTCCCCTAAGCAGAGCACGCCCTCTGCCTCTTTGGGAGCTTGCAACCAGCGACCCCCATCTTCGGAATCTCCCTGCCAGCTGAGGCCCACACCTTCCTCCTCCACCTGCAGACTGGGGAGCAAGAGGCCCCCTCCCAGAAGCCATCTCTACAACCCTGAAAACAGAGTCCTTCCCCTCTGGCACTCAGCCCAGCCCTACCAGCTTGTGCACTTCCTGCGGGTTGACAACAAAGAGCCGCTCGTTGAGCCCCAGGGATGTGGCCACACCGCGGGCCTCTGGCTGCAGGCCAATGGCATCTGCAGGGAAAGCAGAGGCTCCAGGTGGGGGTTGGGTAGCAGCTGGCCAGGTGCACCGGCTGCAGGGTGGTGGGTGGGAAGGGGGTCCAGGGCGAAGCTTTAGCCCCGCCGAAGCCCAGCTTCCTCCCTGGGAAAAAGAGAACCTAGCACATGTCCTGACCCGGCACAAGGCCTGGGCGTTAACCAGGATAAGCACAGCTGTGAGGGTGGGACCCTGCAAAGGCCCTCGGAGATCGAGTGAAGGGCGGGTGTGGACTTGGCGTCAGCTTATCAGTTCCTGGTGCAGCAGAACGGTGCTGTTAGTCCCACTTGAGGCCTCAGTTCCTAGACCAGTGGCCACAGAAGTAGGACATGCAAGTCCATCCTCTGCCCAGGAAAACACTGGCTTTTGTTTGTGCTGTTCTCACCTGTTTTGATTCCTATTTTATGCACGGCCTTATACTTGCATAATACTGGTGAAGTAGTATAGAGTTTGTAAACACATTTACCCTTAGTGGAGGATTTACAAAAAAACATTGGTCTCTGGCAAAGGCGGCTGGCGCAGAGCAGGGCTCAGTAATTATGTGGGCAGCCGCAACTCAAGCGATGGCCAGCAGAGGGCAGTGCCCCCAGAGCGGACCACATGGGGGGTTCTTCACTCAATCTCTGGAAGAAGGCTTTCCTCCCTTCCCCTCTCCTCGGGCCATCATTCCCTGCCTGCGCCTGCCCCTGTCCACCCAGCAGTCAGGCCTGCTGTGTCTTTCACAGAGAACAGTCTTGTCGCCCACACACAATCGCACTCCAGGCCCTGCATCTGCCAGGTCCCATGCACGTGCTGCGCTCTGGCCCGGCAACTGCTGTACCCAATATAGAGATGGCTCGGTGGCAGTGCCCACTACACAGACCAAGAAAGGAGGCTGCGCAGCTTGCTCAGGCCCCCGCAGCTGGTGCACATCCGCGACTCCAAGGGCCCATCTGGGAGCCCGTTCTGCAGTGCAGGCTGGCCTCGAACCCTGGACAGACCCCAGACTGGCTGCGGATTCACAGCGATCCTCCTGCCTCAGCTTCTGGAGTGCTGGGTTTACAGGCTTGTGCCACCATGCCCGCTATCACCCCAGTCCTCGGGGTGCAGCTTATCTGCCTTACCAGCCATGGTACCTGAGCCCAAAGGCCAGCGAGAGCCCCTATTGCGTGAGCCTGGGGAGCCCCTGAAGCCCCCAGCTTCAGTTTCCCAGCCTGAAAAGAGGGCAAAACGCCATTCACACAGGCCTGTCTTTAGGACTAAAGGCCAACTTAAGAATGGTGATGGTAATGGCTGGGACTGATGTGGCGCCGGCGACGAGCTGGGCCCCTTCTAACGCCTCTGTGGGCTAGCCCACTTCTTGGAGGAACCAGACTATCCCTACTTTACAGAGATGAAGTGCCTTGCGCAGGTGACCCTGCTAGTGCACCAAGGGGCTGCAGTCAGAAAGCAGGCAGTAGGCTCCAGCGCGCTCGCTCCTAAGCCCCGCACGGAGCAGGCATGGACAGCTGCAGAGGCGCCACTGCCATCAGCACTGGTGCCAGCGAAGCAGAGGACAATGCTCTGGGTCCGGGGAGCCAGCACAGGCCTGAGGGGCCCCTCCCTGGGCTACTGGGGCACAACTCACCGCCTGCAGAAGTGAGCTTCACCAGCACCTGCCCCTTGGTCCAGCCGTCCTCCTGGGCCAGGGCCGCCATCACCTCCCTCACAGAGGCTGTCACGGGCAGCTTCAGGGTCAGCACGGAGTGGTCGGGCCGGCAGATGTCGTAGGGCACTGGGGAGGAGGGCTGGCTAAGCAGCAGGGGCAGCGCCTGGTCACCCCGGCAGATGGGGGCAGTGCGGGCCTGGCTCCCCAGGAGGGGGCAAGAGCAGGGGCCAAGACAAAGTGGCCGGGGAGCCCTAGGCCAGGGCAGGAGTATGGGGACAGAGACCCCCGGGGGCACAGCATGCTTCCCCCGACCCAAGAACTCCCAGGGAGGTGACAACAGCAGGACAACAGAGGCAGAGGCAGCCCAGCGCCAGTGCAGAGCCAGGCTCTCCTTCCTGCCGGGACCACCCACCTTTGTCCCCCACTCGGATGGCACAGCTGCTGCTTGGGAAAGGCTCATCCTGGCTGGGGAGCCACACAGGCGTGTTCCGGGCCTGGGAGGAGGAGAAAGCAAGGCTGTGAGGACGCGGGGGACAGCACACACGGAGGGACAGTGAAGCACCTGTCACCAGGAGCAGGACCCTGGCTGCGCTGCACCACCAGAGGGCTCTGTGGGCCATGTTTACCCAGGTCCAGGTGCGGCCCTGGGCCTTTGGCTGCAGAGACAGAACAGGTGCAAGGGGGCAAGACAGTGCCCTCCACAGGTATGTCCTTCTCTCTACACCCAAAGATCCAGAGCCTTCTCTCGCCCTCCCTCCTCCAGCCATGATCTGCTACAGGCCAGGCACTGGTCTAAGTGAGCAGTCACAAAAAGCCTTCGACAAAAGTACTGCTATGCCCACATTACAGCTACGTGAGGCTCGGACAAGTAAGGCACGTGCCAGCATGCTTTCCTACCCACGATCTGTCAGCGGCCCCACCACACGTCCGTGGGGCCCCCGCATCCTTCCCCTGGCTAGTGTCCTACCCCAGCTCCTCCTTCACCTCCAGCCCATGACAATGGCCTGACCCCTCCTCCCCAGGCCCTCACGTGACTCTGGCCTCCTCCTCCAGGCAGCCTGCGCAGGCAGGACCAGTGGATGCGTGCAGCTCCAGGCCCCACTGTCAGGCTAAGCCCACTCTTCCCCGAGCCCTTCACACCACAGGCCAGCCTATCAGCCCTGCTCCAACGCCTCAATGTCTGCACTACACTCAGCACAAGACCACGCTCCTTCCTTGGCCAGGCTGGCAACCCCCAGCCCCTGCCGTCCCTCACTCTCTGTCCCCCTGCATCATCCTGGGGCCCTTTGTGCTCAGACCTTAGCCTGCAGCTTCAGCACTGAGAACACAGTCCCCAAGCGTGAAAACCAAGTGCCCCGCTTCCAGAGGCCCCGGTCTTTGTATGTCACAAGCTGTCTTGCAGCCTCATCCCTCACTTGCCCATCAACACACAGCCCAGGGTGCCTCTGTCAGCCACAGGGTCACCATAGGCCACCGGCATGGTGCCTGGTGCGTGAGGGAAGGGCCAGACAAAGGCCCTCCCCGCTGAAGCAGCATCCCAGCAGTATGCAACAAATGGCTGATTTGAAGAAAATCACTGTGGACTCCTAGCTCGCTCAGGAGGAGGGGTCCTTGGGTGGAGAGGCAGAGGGGCTCTGGGAGCAAGCAGAAGGGCCGTCAGGCCCCAGCCAGCAGAGCGTGGGCAGGCGCGGAGGGCAGGTGGGTGGGCCTTTGGGGTTTCTGCCCACACAGCCTCCCTGCGCAGTCCTTTCTCCCTGTTCCTCACCAGTCTGGGTTCCCGCCACACCTGCTTGCTCCCTCTGCTCCCCCAGCTCCAGGCTGGACAGCACTGGCCACCCAGAGGCCCCGGGGAAGGGCCTATCCTTCCTGGGGATCCCCACAGCCCAGCTACGAGGAGCCCCTAACTGCCTCCCAGGAAGGAAGCCCCATGCGGGGAAGGAAGCTGCCCTGGGCCACACACAGCCCAGCCTGGCAGCAGAGGTGACGGTGGGGTCAGTTACCTTCAGCTGAGGAGACGTGCTCCCGCAGCCGTTCTCCAACCTAGGAGCAGGAGAGAAGGGCTGTGACAGGGCACAGAGGCAAGGCCGGGCTCCGGGTCCCATCCTGTCCCAGCGAGAGCTCTGAGGGCAGGAGCCTAGGAAATGCAGTGGGCGGGGGGCTGGCAGGGACAGCCCCGGAGGTGCCAGGGCACACTTGTGTGCCTGGAGGTGTGCTCAGGATGGCATAGGGCAAGGGGACCGCAAGGCCCTGAGGATGGAGGATGTGGGCACGCGCGTGCCCTGGGGCTGGTGGGAGCCAGGCCCTCCACCCCACCATGCAGGAGTGGCCACCTGTGGTGCCGCCGCCTCTCGGGCCACTGCTCCCTCAGCAGCTGGCTGAGCCACGTGTCCTTGCTCACCAGGTCAGAGAGTGTCTGTGAAGAGCCAAGTTCCCCTGAGCCAGCTGCAGCCACGCTGCCCCTCAGCTCGCCAGCCTTGCCCCACTCTAGTACCTGCAGGAAGCTGGTGGCCACGGGGTCCCGGCGGAGCGTGGGCCCATACAGGGCCACCCACTGGCCCACCAGCCAGAGGGTCTGCTGCCTGCGGTTGCAGGTGTACGAGCTGCGCTCAGGCTCGCTGTCCCCTGCAGACTCGGCCGACTCCATGTGGAAGGTGGTGCCAGTCAAGGAGCCACACCACATACCAGGTGGTGAGCAGCACACCTGAGCCAAGAGGGCAAGACCCCCCCCCCCCGCAGGCTGTCCTGGGATGAAGCTGGCACCCGAGTGGGATCCTTGCAGCCCGGCTGGTGGGGACTCCTCACCCATGGCACCCCGCCCACCTCACCCCATCCAGGGCTGGCAGGATATTGGCGCAGCAGGGCAGCGCAGAGCTGTGCAGTGGGCATGAAGACGCTGTGGGTCAGGAGGAAGTCCCCCAGGAACGTCTCTGTGGGGCGGGGCGGGTCAGCCTCCGAAGCCAGGTCTGCAGAGCACACCGGGCAGCCCTTCCCCAAGTCCCTCCGCAGACACAGACCAGCAATGCCCAGCCCCATGAGGGCGCCCCGCCCAAGCAAGAGCCAGGGCAAGCAGCATCCCGGCAGTAGATCTGAGGGCCAATCCAGGGAGGCCACGCTGACCACCGGGGAGGCTGCGAGCTGTCAGGGTGCCATCTCCGGCCCTACCTGTCGGGTCGTGGGCGCTGGAGTCTGGCCGCATGGCCTCTAGCAGGAGCTCAAGGATCTTCTCCGGGGTGCCCGACATCACCGTGTACCTAGCAGAAAGCAGCAGCAGAGCCTGTTCCTCCCGCTCGGGCCCTGTCCTGCCTTGGGGTGCAGCGTAGGTGATGGGAAGTGTGTTCTAGTCCCTGCATGGCAGAGGGCAGGAGGAGCGCAGGGCAAAGGAGCTCGGACAGGGAAAGGAAGGCAGCGCTGAGGTGGGGGCGGGGCGCACCGGCTCCTGCCCGGGGTGGGGGGGCGCGAAGAGCCGGCGCCCTGCGAGGTCCGCTCCAGCACCAGCACCACCTTGCCGTGTTCTTCCAGCCGCATGGTCCTGGCCTCCACGTCCTGGAGAGCGAGCCACGGGGACGCTCAGTGACCAGCACGTCTCTGCGCCGGGCCCCCGCTTCCGTGGGGCCCTACTCTGCCCCGGCCTGCCTGCTCTCCTCGTGCCGTGTGCCCCCACGGCCCAGGCTCCCCCGTGCCCAGATTTCTCACAGCCCCTCAGCAGTTATGGACTTCCCTCCTCACACACGCCCGTACAGTCCCTGTGCCAGCTTCACACCCAGCCTCTCCCTGCCACCTCCTCCTCACACTGTCCCCTCTCTGCATCTCTAGGCCTCTGTTTTCTGCCCTCCCCACCCCCAGAAGCCACCTTGATGATCCGGTTGAAGTCCTGCTTGTCCACACGCAGGAAATGACAGTTATCTTCTCGAAGAATGATGGTGGCCGCCCGGGGGGCATCATTCATCAGGGCCAGCTGTCCAAAGTCATCTCCCTCGTGCAGTGTGGTCACCAGCCCCTACAGCCAGGCCTCAGTCACAGCCCCCATGGACCCACCCTCCCTGGCCAGCCCCCAAAGGAAGCCTGGGGCCCGGCTGGAAAGCAGTTGCAATCTCACAGCTCAGGGCCTGGGAGGCCTGGTGGTCTCACCTTGCCATGGGTCACCACGTTGACAGATCCCTTCCAGATAATGTACCATGAGGTGCCCTTGTCCCCCTGGCTAAACACTGACAGAGGCAGGAACAGATCAGGCCCTGCCCTCCCGCCACTTTCCCGCCCAGGCCCTGCACCCAGCCTGACTTACACACAGTCCCTGCCTTGCTGTGGGGCTCGAAAAGCAGCACTGAGGCCAACTCCCGCTTCACCTGTGAGCAGGAGAAGGGCGCAGTTTGGGGGTCAGAAGGGGCTTAGCCCAAAGGTACAAGCACTGCGGAAGAGTGGGGCCAGGTGAGCTGCTCCCCAGGCACAGGCAGGGAAGGAGGACATGGCTGAGACTGCAGGAGGACAGCTGGACCCCTCTGAGGGCACGAAGTCAGGCTGAGGGTGTGCAGCCACAGCAGGTGGGGAGGGCGCTGCCTCCTGGCCCGCAGTAGAGCCTGCAGGAGCCTCCTGCTAGGACACGGACGGACGCTACGGGAGCAGGGCCAGGCACTTACCGAGTTAGACAGGTGGGCCACAGCCTTGATGTGCAGCAGCTCCTCGAAGATGAGGTCCAGCTCCTCCTCCACGCGCTGTCCCGGGCTGCAGGCACAGAAGCAGCAGCAGCACCTGAGAGCTGTGGCCAAGGGCCAGGTGGCGCCTGCTCCCTGATCTGTCAGTAGCGGGGCAGCCTCTGTGGAAGGGCCACAGGCGCCAGACCCCAGGCTAAGCTCCTCACGTGCATTCCACCCCCACGACAGCCCACCAACACAAGCTCTGTTATCCTCGCCTGACAGAAGAGGAACCAGTATGGACAGGCCCAAGGTCACCCAGCGAGTAGGCAGAGGAGCTGGGCCTGGCACCTGGGCTGCCCACAGGTCTCAAAGCCTCCCCTCTTGTAGCCAGGCTATACACAGTGTAGGACGGGTGCTCCAAGGCCCTCTGGCCCCCACGCTCGTTGCTGAAAGCAGCAGCCCAGGCACAGGAGGGGCCGTTGAGTCCATGCAGAGTGCAGGCCCAAGGTCAGGGTTCAGGAAGAACCTACTAAGAGTCTATGGCCCCGAAATGCCACATGGGACCCCAGGCTGGCATGCAGGGCTCTGAACTCACGGCTTCCGAAGTGCCACTGTGAGCAGGGCATCTGGTCCCCGCTGCGAGAGCAGGGCCATGGCCTCCACTAATTCCTCTTCCAGCTCGTGAACTCCTGCAGGCTCAGGCTCCGGCCCCAAGAAGCGGTAGAACTGGGCATCTCGGTCCTGGAAGGTCCAGTCGTGTTTCACTGAGGGACCAAGGCCCAGGCATGGAAAGGAGAGGAAATTGAGGCCATGTAGGCACAAGGGCCCAGGGCAATGCCAAGCCTGCTGCAGCACCCCCAAGGCCACTGCCCAGCCTGGAGACCCACCCTGGGCTCAGGCTCACCATGGCAGAGGGCACCTTCATCCAGCAGCACCTGGCAGATGCCCACTGCTTGGCTTCGGGAATGGACCCCAAGCCCAAGGGCCAGGATCCCATCCACCAGCTCCCGTCCGGAGCAGCATTGCCTGCGGGGAGGTAGGGGTTTGTGACCTAGCCCAGCCAGCTCTTCCCCTAGCAGCAGGGTTAGGCCCAGAAGCCTAGGGTGGGAAGGAAAGGGACAAGGGACAGTGAGTGTGGGTGAGCCAGGCCAGACAGAGCCCCACTCACCGGTGGAGCCTAAGATGGTGCTTTCGGTCTCGGATGAGGCTTGGGTAGGTGGCCAGAAGGTGTCGGTGCAGGTACCTGCCAGCCCTGAGCACACGCTCCGTCGTGGCCTGCAGGGGGAGGACACAGCTAGCTGCAGCCCTATACCCTGTATCTGCTGCCCCGGGCCACGCCCCCTGCACCTGTACCTGCTCTAGGCTCTCGCTGAAATCCAGGGACTCCTCGCTGGTGGTGAGAGGTGTCTGAGAACAGCAGAGAGTTCGTAGGTCAGCATGGGGCCTACAGACACTGCTGTGGGCCTCCCTGCCCCCCTCATCACCTCACCCAGTCCCTAGCCCCAAATGCACCCCTTAGTCACTTAAGCCACCAATGAGCATACCTGGAGCCCCCAAGGCCGCGCACTGCCTCTTCCCACCCTACACTCCATCCCCAGACTTTTTCTTCCTTCTGCACCTGAACACTACCCCTCCTGAGGGAGCCCTGAGATCCCCACTCTGTTCTCCCAGGGCCCTGTGTGCCCAGGCTCCCAGGAAAACTGCCCCATGTGGGGACAGGGACCAGGAGCTGGAAGGAGAACAAGATAAGACCTGTGAGCAGCCAGACAAGAGCAGTGCAGAAGGGGCTGGGGAGATAGCTCAGTAGAATAAGCACTTGCCTGGCAAGTGCAAGGGCCTAAGTTCAATCCCTGGTACTAGGGGGGAAAAAAACAAAACAAAACAGTGCAGGGCCCGGGAATGTATGCTCCAGCATGGGGCAGCAGGCCTGATGCTAAACCCACCATGTTCCTGGCCCAGCACAGAACCACGAGCAGGCCCTGTGCCCTCTTACAGCCTTGGGCCAGTCTGGTTGTTAACATCATAAACCTCAAAGCTATGCTCCTGGATTCGAACACCTGCTTGTCTACTGGTGTGTGGCCTCAAACAAGCAATTTCTCTCTGCTGCAGTTTCCTCAGGTATAAAATCCATAAAACACTAATAATAACAAAGCCAGGTGCTTCAGGGAGGACTGCACAAGTTAACACACAGCAAGCAGTCAAACCACTGCGCAGACAGCGGCTGGACACCCACGTTAGCTGCCACCTAGCAGCTGTCCAGGTGGGGCTGCCAGCTAGAAAGGCAGTTAGTCTATCCGCCTATGAGAAAGAGCAACACAGCAGGTACACAGCAGCTCGGGGCTGTCCAGGACCCCCAGGTAGTGAGGTTTCCTTGCCCGTGGTGTCAGCGGGGATGTCAGAGCTCCGGGGTGCTGAGTGTGAGCCATGGAAGCCCCTCACAATCCTTTTCCAGCTCCCTAGAGCTGGGCTTAGTGGGAAGCCCTGGACAGGACGCCCTGCCCTCCCAGCCTGCCCAAAGTCCTTACCATGTGCAGGGCACGACCACCTCCCCAGTGCTATGGGCTCTCGAGTCAGTGGGAGATGGGCAGGTGGCACTCTCTTGCCCTGGAAGCCGTGGGATACTGAACACTAAGGGTGCCGAGGTCACTTGCAAGGGTAGTGGGCTGGGGAGCCTGTCCGATTCCCACCACCAGCCTTTGGGGTCCTGGTCCCATGCTGTTCTCCACACCTGTGTCTTTTGCCCTCCTCCCATCCTTTTCCAACACCAGTGCTCCTCTTGGGTTCCCACCTGCACTTAGGGCCCTGGGAAGGGCCTGGCTGGGAGGCTGGAGCCGAGTGCCCTCCCCTGGGCTGGGCACCGGCGCTCTGCCACTGTGCCCTGCAGAGGTCTGAGTCTGGAATGCACAGGCGCCTGGCCAGGGCTGGACGGAAGTCACTAGGTGTCCCAAGGGTATTCCTGCCTGGTCATGGGGCCCAACCAGTGCCAAATCCAGAGCCCTGGAGACTTAATGACAGGAAACAAGGAGGAGGAGGAGCCGGGAGGAGAGGAAGGGCAGGAATGCTACCGGGCCAGCCCCTGTGTTGGAACAAACAGTGCCGAGGAGGCTAACACTTGTTGTTATTCATTTCCAAGTGCCAGGCCGCCCCCAGCCTGCCCCAGCTCCCTTGGCGCCCGCAGCTGAAGCTGCAGCACCGGCTCCCTTCCTGGTATTATTTTGACCTGGGAGGGCACATCAGGAGGGGGTGACGGATCATGTGGCTGTGATGGTCACTTCCTGACCTACCCTGAGGATGAGCACAGGGCCAGAGAGTGTCCTTGTCCCCAACTCACGCACTGCACGACATGCAAAAGCTGAAGACTGAACCTAAAGGCGTCTCTCACTTCCCAAAGGAATGCAGGTGCCTGGAGAACTGAAGTTACTTAAGGTGCCTGCCGCGCTGCTGGCCTTGGGAGCAGGAGTTTGCATCACTGTTCATATCGGGGGGGAGGGTCAGAGATTACATAACCTCCAGCTGGCAGAGAGAAATCACATTGCCTGCGTGGACTCCAAGCCCATGTAGGCCCTTAGCACTGTGCCCCTCACCACGGTGCCCCCCTGCCCCCCTCGCCCCACGTGTATTCTGCCCTTAGGAACGTCCTGTGGCAGCAGGTACACAGGCTGGCGGTCACAACTCCTCTTTCCCCTGCAGTCTTCCAGGGAATGGAAGCCTCTGGGATGAGGCAGGAATTGGGCTACTTCAGGGGTCAAATGTGTAGATTTGGATAGGACACCTCAGTTCACACGCTGGCTCTCTAGTTAACACCTGCTCCTACGGCCTTGTGTTGCTTGTCTGCCCCTGCAATGCCTGCACTTCCTAATCTGTAAGGTGGGGCTGATGTGATGACGGCAGGCCTCCCAAGGACCGTTGCGAGGATCGGATGAGCTAGTGGAAGGCACACAGAGCGGGGCCCACCACACCTGTTCGGGAATGGCCTTCTTCCGCCTTCATTATTTCAAAATGGGCACCAAGTACCCGGGCCCGGGACAAAAGACACTGGCCCAGGCCTTAGTCCAATAACCCCGAGTTGGCTCAGGCTCTGGGTTGGAAAGAAGCCATCAGCACGGGTCAAGGTGAAGGCCCTCAGGGCTGCCTCTTCTCAAAGGTCACGGGAGGCATTTGGAGTGGAAGGGGAGGGGCTTGGTCTCAAGGCACCAGCGAGGCAGGCGGCCCTCTCCTCCTCCCCGGCACTGAGTGTCAGAGAGGCTGGACATCACCAGGACCTGTCAGACCAGTTCCCTCAGATGTGCCTGAGGTCCCAGGCCGCTGCATGTGATGGACAGGAAAGACGGCAGGGACACCATGGCCAGTGCCACACCCACGGCCACCTGCCGGGAAGCACAGCCCAGCCACAGCACCAGGGTGATGGCAGCAGGACCTGTCCCTCAGGCTACGGGAGCCTTGGTAAAGTGACTACCTGGGCTCTCACAGGGACCCCAAACCCTAAACTGCTACTCTTTTTCACAGGGTTGGGCAGAAGGAGGTTTGCTGTTTTAGAGAAGAGAGCAAACTCCCAGAACAACAGCCATTGGAAAAACAGCAGCCCAGCCCCCGCCCGCCTGTGGGCACCATCAGAGATCCCCACAATCTTGCCCCTAGCCCTAGATATCAGACAGCATCTCATGTGTTCCAAAGACGATTTTCATCACATTCCAGCGCTGCCGCGCCGTCCCTGGTAGTCCTTTCTGCAGCTAACCTCAAGCCCTCCTGCTGCACCACAGATGCTCTGTGAGGTTGATGGCTTTGCCCTTGAGACTTTTAATAGGAAAGCGCAAGTGGAGCCTGGATGACCCCCACCCTGACCCCTTCACCCTGGGGTACACATGCGCTGTGGGCACTGCTCCCTGATGGAAGTCTTGCCTGGGTAGGGCCACCATCAGGAATGGAGGTGCAGCAGATGAGCACCCAGAACCCCTAAACACACAGGCACATGGGTGCGCATGCACAGGCGGAGCCCATCCCCCACCCCCAGGGCCAGTGTAACAAAGGGGATGGGCCGGTTTTAGCCCTGAAAGTCTGAGCTGCTCCATCACCAGACCTTCTCCACTGTACACACGTACACACAACCAGCAGGGGAAAGGAGATTCGCTCCATACCTTTGGCTCCCTTTACACTTCAGCAACCCACACGCACCCTCCCCACCTCCCCACGTAGGGCTCAGGCCAGCCCAGCAGTGCTGAGGCACCTCCACCCCTTTCTCATCTTTGGGTCCCAGGAGATCAGTGAGCTCACTATCCCTGTGCCGGACCTCCTCTCTCTCAGCCCCTACCTCGCCTCTAGAGCTGAGAAGGGGACAGGAAATGTACAAGTAATTATAGTCCAGGAGGGAAGGCGGCAGCGGGTGAGTTCCAGCCTCTAGCTCCAGCACAGATATGGCAGGGACCATATATGCCTAGGCGTGTGGGACCAGAGCCAGGCCCCAAAGGCCGCTTATCAGGAAGACCTGGGAGAGCAGGGCTGGGTGACAACTGCAGACACTTGGGTTCCCCTTCTCAGCCCAAACTGCACCCAGGGACCCCTTCCCTTTGCTGTGCCTGGGTTTTCCCACCTCAGCCTCCCAGTCCAGTAAGGAGACTCCTGGCAGCTGGACATGGCAGGAGGAAGAAGGCTGCTCTGATCAAGGGGACTTGCTGATACAAGAGGAGCTGTCCTATTTGTCACCCACTCCTGCCTTCTCCGGCTCCTGTCCCCAGGACCCTCGGACACCACCCACCCACACACACACACCCAGTGGGCACACCCAGGCGACACGCCCTTGAGCCCCAGGACCAGGACCAGGCACTGGAGAAGCCTGTGACTGGACCAAGCGCCTCCCTCCTTTTCCCCTACTGCCCTTCCGTCCTTCATTCCTTCAGCTCCAGAGTTTTCCACTGCCAAAGGTGCTCCAGTCATCCTGGGTTCTCCTGACTCCTCAGAACCCCCCCGCCCCAGTCCCTGCAAGCCTCAGGACAAGCAGTGTCCACATGACCCTTCAGTCTAGGATCAAAAAGCAGAATCAGCCCAGTTCTGCTGTACAGGAAAGAAGCGGTTGCCACGGTGACCCGTCTGGCACAGTAAGCACTTGACAGGACTTCGCCCCTCCCGCATCTCCTACCCGCCAGCAAAAAGGACACGAGTGCACCTAACTCTGCCGAGCGACTAGACCCCTTCTTCTTGCCCCCAGCCCAGATGGGGCTACCTGGGCACCGAGACAGTGGAACATGTAGCTGCGGTGCGCGCAGCCCACACCCCACGCCTCCCTGACCCATGCGCACCCCAGAACCCCAGAGCAAGCCACCCCCAGTTGCTGGCCCAGGCGGAGCTACTCACCCAGCGCAAGCCCTGGATGCGGCTGGGCCGCCGGTGCTCCAGCAGAAGCTGGTAGGAGCAGCTCCGGGACCGGGGCATCCTCCGCAGCACCATGTCCAGCAGCGTGGCGTCCGGCCCCAGCTCAGGCAGGCGCAGGCCCGGGCCCCCGTCCGCAGCTGGGCCCAGCTGCCAGCGGCTCTCCCCTGGCCAGCCGACCTGCAGCGTGGAGAAAGGTGTGCGGCCCTGAGCGTCCCTGGCGTCCTGCGGCTGCAGGGGGAGGCGCTCACCCCTCCAGGCGCCGGGGGAGGGACAGGAAGACCTGCCGGGTGGCCGCGCGTCCGGCTGCGAGTCTTGGGCGACTCCAGGAGGGCTGGACGCTGCCTCGCTCGGGAACCCCTGCCCGCCGCCCTCTGCGGAGCGCTCGGCCCGAACCCCTGCCCAGCTCCCCGCGACCGCGCCCTCCAGCTCCTCCCGCCGGACCCCTCACCCACCTTCATGTCCCTGCAGTCACCCTCCGCGCAGGCTCTGGAGGGACCGCGGGGCGCCGGGCCAGCCCCGGCGGGGTATGCGTGGGGTCGGCGGACGCGGCGGGCGAGCAAGGCGGCGGGGCAGGTGGAGTGGCGCCCGCTTGGACGGACCTGGGCGGGGGTCGCCCTTCCCAGAGCCCGAGCCAGCGCCCTCGGTCCAGGCGGCACCGCCAGCTGGCACCGGGCCGGGCGGGCGTTGGCTCCCATGGATGGACGGCCGAGGGGCGGGGAGGTGGCGCGGGAGGAGGCCGGGCCGGGAGGGGCGGGGCGCGGTGCCGCCGCGTGGCCGGAGCCCAGGCGGAAACCGGGGAGGGGGCGGCGTGAGTCAGCGCCCCACCCCGAGGGAAATCCTGCCCGGCAGCTCCCGCCTGGCTCCTGTTCCGGCCTCCACCGAGGGGCTCGCACTCTGGACGCGGACGGGGAAACTGAGTCTGGACGGAACGCAGCCCGGGTGGACAGACGGATGGGGGTGGGAACTCCTAGAAAGAGGTGTGGCTGGTGCCAGCGTGGAGCAGAGAAATGTGCCGGGGCCACATCCTCCGGGCAGTGGACGCGGAGACGCCGCGGGGTTTGAGCCTCGGTCTCCACCCTGCACGCGTGCCAGCGTGGCTGTCGGCCTCACACCTGTTTCCGAGAAGGCAGAGACAGATGGACGGCCAGATGCCTGGTAATTGCTCAGAATGACAGTGAGGGTCTAGAAGGCACACCCCCGCCTCTGCTTTCTAGGAGCCCCTTCCCCCATTTTACCCTTCTTCTCTCTTTTCTATTGTTGAGTTTGCCGGGGCTGAGGAAGGAACACTAGTACTCAGCAGGTGCCTCCGCTGCAGATGGTGGAAACCCAACCTGCACTGAAAATTATTTTGACCGGGGGAGGGGAATTTTAATTGTAGTTAAAAATCTCCACCCCACCTTTTATTTGTTTTCAGTCTCCTGCCTAGTTCAAGCTGGCCTTGAATTTCCAGTGTGTGCGGGGCTGTCCTGAAACTCAAAGGGATCCTCCTGCCTCAGCCTCCCAAGTGCTGGGATTATAGGCCTGTGCCTCCGTGCTTGGCTAAAATCCTGTGTGTGTGTGTGTGTGTGTGTGTGTGTGTGTGTGTGTATTTTACCCATGAGCTTATTAAAGTGCATGTTGCAGCTCCCCAAATTTGGAAGTGGATGGAAACACTGCACATTGAACAAAGGTCGCGGGTCATCTGCTCTGCCCACACTTTGAACAACCTTTTTCTTTTTCTTTCTTTTTTTGAGGTACTGGGGATAGAACTCAGGCCCTTATGCTTGCCAGGCAGGCACTTAATCCAATGAGCTATCTCCCCAGCCCTGTGCCCACACTTTGAGAAACACTGGCTGCATTTTTAATGTCCTCCAGGGAAAGGGACTCTGAGGATAAATGTGGCCACTGACCCAAGTTCCTAGAATTTGCAATGAAAGAAAAGCTTGGGTACTGACAGAAAAGGGTGATGGGCAAGGGCCTCCCTCGGCTGTGTCTGGGGAGAGCGCCAGCTATGTGCTGCAGTAGACAGTGACCTGCTGCAGAGTCCTGAGACTGGCCACGGGGTCCGACCAGGAGCAGAGACCCGGCAGGGCAGGCAAGGTCATCCGCAGGCCTGCAGGCCAGGCAGCACAGCCACAGAGGCTAACGTGGATGTGCTCCAGTGTGCTCCAGGCCTTCCATCCCGGCTCAGACCCTACAAAGTGAGTACTTCTGCCATCCCCTTTGTACGCATGGGGAAACTGAGGTTCAGAGACAGGAAGGAACTTATTGAGGCCACACTAGTAGCCAAGGGTAGAACTAGGGCTGAAACCCATCCAGATGGGGCGAGTCCTTCCCACTGAGGAGTCTGAGATGGAGAGTGGGTAGCAGCAGAATTACAGCTCCGTGGATACCTGACCCAGGCTGAGGCGCTCGGGGCCAGGGGACCATGCAGTCTGTCTGCGCAGCCCGGACAGTGAGTGTCCTGGGCACAATCACACCAGCCGCTGGCGGGCCTCCAGCCTCCCTGGACTGTTGGCAGTATGCGCAGGGTCATCAAGTGTGCTGCTTGTTAGAGGAACAGTGGCAGTAGCAGCACACACCCGGCCTGTGCTGGACA